CATTCATCTTCGGAACACAAATTAAGATATTTTTGATGAAATCCAGGAGCTTTCTCATCTTCTATAGACTGCAACTACCATGTTCAAGGCCCGGAAAGGTAGTAAGGACATCATTAAAATTAGTGATGAGACAGTTGATACAGCGGCTTTCAAAGCACTATTGTATCACACACTGTGCCAATGCTTGTATCGAAATGACAACATCACGTGATTGATGACGTTTGAAGCTTCGAACGTCATGCAGTATCGGAAGGTGGGGACAGCTGGTTTGAAAAAAATCAGCGCTTCTCATGACTCTTGTGTTTGACTTTACATTGACTTGGTTGTGTGTGTGTCTGTGTGTGTGTGTACGTGTACACTTATTTGGGATTCTGTAGAATAGTTTAGAATAAACTCAACACCAGACTGAATGCACGTCACACCTCTATTGCATTTTATCATGTTCTAACTGGGGTCTCAGAGACCCCGAACAGCTCACCCAAAATATTTTTGCTACTACTCACGTCAATTATTAATTATAATCACACACTTGTATATTTTATATTATTGATCAATATGTGAATGACATTAAAAACTTTTTCAAACCATCCTCTGGGTTACGGCTAGATGGCATACAGCAAAAACTACTGGGCATGCGCACATCAATATAGCATAATTTTTCTCACACTGTACAACAATTACTATTTTTGCATTATTGTTAGGAGTAGGTTTAGGGTATTCAAATAGAAAGTTATTTTAAATAAATTTTACTGTTTTTGCTGTACTTTGGATCAAATAAATGTAGGCTTGGTGAGCAGAAGAGAAGTCTTAAAAAAAAACTTTTAAAATCTTACTGTTCAAAAACTTTTGACTGGTAGTGTAGACTGATTAGTCTTATATATTGAAACAAATGTGCTTTAGCCAATATAACGAGTATGAAAAGTGCTCTGAGTTGCTGATTAGCAACAACAAAAACATGTTGCTGAAGACAGGCTTTTGAACATGCAAACTGATTGTCTGCCAGCAGGAGGCGCTTTGAAAGCGGAAGAACTAGCGGTTTCCCCAGTAACGGCTGTAATCAAAGCAGCTCTGCTCATGAACGCCTCCAATCTAATAGGTAGAAAATTAAATTTATTGGTAGCTTCCGGTTTTTCCTGTATCCCTTCTAGCCACAACCCATCCTCTGCTCCGCGATGTTTTGTTAGATTTGGTGGAGAAACCAAGTCTGATCACCAGATGTCGCTAATGCGCACCGTGTTAAAAGCTTCGAGTAATGAACCGTTTTTCGGCACAATTTTATGAAAGCCTCAAACGGTTTAGAAAGCCTCGGTTTCCCATCACTAATTAAAATAGTTCATGTGACATCAGTGGTCCAACCTTAATTTTATGAAGCCATGAGAATACTTTTTGGCGCAAAGAAAACTAAAATAACAATGGTATTAAACACTTTCTGAACTGGACTGAATTATTTAATGACAGCATTTGCATTTTTGTGTGGACTAACCCTTTAAGAGTCAAGATTAGACCTAGACATTGGAGTTAAGTGTTAAACTGAATCTTACAGGTTAGGGTTGGGTTAGATTCAGGATGGGGTGCCAGGGGCAGGGTTAAGAGCTACTGTCCTGCAGACTTCAGTTCCAACCCTGATCCAACACACCTGCCTGTAATTATCAAGTGACCCTGAACACCTTGATTAGCTGGTTCAGGTGTGTTTAATTGGGGCTGGAGCTGGAATCTGCAGGACAGTGGCTCTCCAGGAGTAGCGTTGGAGATCCCTGGGTCAGAAGAGCAAAATTCAAGTTGTTTTAAGCCCGGGATACACTGCACGATTTTAGCAATCCTATAAGATCATTATTTTATCACACTGTGCGACATGGATCGTTTAAACTTGGGTACGACAAGTATGTAGACTATACGATGATGACACCTTTTGAATCGTAGGCTGCGACACACGTTAGCGCAACGTCTTCGTACAAACATGCCTTCTGCTGCCACAACTCAACAAGAATTTGTTCTTTATGGGTATCCCACATACTAGTATACCTTCTACTTTTTTTTTGCCTCCATGGCATTGAAATTGTAGCGCCTCTGGTCGCGTGGATCAATACGTCATTTCATGTTGCAATTTCATTGGCTGCTGAGTAGACGCAGGTCGTTGCAGCAAACACACTGTGCGTTGATCATGCTGAATTTCTGACACTGTCAGAAAACTATCGTAGGCTATCTTTGGTCGCAAGACTGGGAAAATGCCCGTCTTTGAACCTCTCGCACTGTACGACATAGGACCACCGATTAAGAGCCACGATCACAGAAATCGCCACGATTGCTTCACAATGGCAATCTTTCGTCTGGGACAGCCAAAAATTGTGCAGTGTATCCCGGGCTTTAGGCAGAGTTTCTCATTCCTGTTCAGCAACTCTGCCCCAATACACCTGTTTGCAATTATCAAGTGTTCCTGAAGATCCTAAGTAGTTGTTCAGGTGCAGTTGATTAGGGTTTGAGAAGAACTTTGCTGGAGGATAGATCCAGGAACTGGAATGAGTACCACCAGTTTTAGAATTGGGTTAAGACAGGGGTGTCCATTCCTGCTCCAATTGCAGGGTTCCTCAAATCTTGCCCTGGAGGGCCAATGTGCTGCAGAGTTTAGCTCCAACCCCAACCTACCTGTGATTTTCTAATGATCCTGAAGACACTGATTAGCTTGCTCAGGTGTGTTTGATTAGGGTTAGAGCTAAACTCTGCAGGAAAGTGGATCTCGTGGGCCAGATTTGAGGATCCCTGTCCTAGAGGGGCACAATACAGCAGAGTTTAGCTCCAGCCCTAATTAAACACACCTGAACCAGCTAATCAAGGTCTTTAAGATAGTTGGAAACGTTCCAGGCCAAACTCTGCAGAAAAGTGGCCCTCCAAGAGCAGGATTGGACCCCTGGGTTAAGCCCGAGACACACTGCACGATTTTCGGCTGTCCCAGACGAAAGACTGGAATCGTGAAACAATCGTGGTGATTTCTGATTCACCACGATTGTTTCATGATGCCAATCTTTCATCTGGGACAGCTGAAAATCGTGCAGTGTGTCTCGGGCTTTAGGACTAGGCTTCAGAACTAAGCAAAGATGTTGATCCAGGAGTACAGTCTTACTGGCAAAATCACAGTCATCTTGAATAACGTTCAATACTCCTCTGATGACACCACATGATTTTATTGTTTATAGTTCTAATATAAAGGCTATTAATGTGACTCCTTTATCCGTGTTTACATGTAAAGCAAAAAAAACAGTATGCATACAAGAATTGTACAAAATATATATGTATCATAGAGTTGGATGTCACTTTTCTGTAATTGTATCTTTTAAATTAAATAGTTGATGTATTCTTTGACTTCATTGAACATTTTCTATATGTTTATGTGGTCAAAAAGTTAAAGCTTTGCTTGAACTTGACTAGTTTCATTATGGTCAAAAGCGGCATTAGTGTAACTGTTTTCATGCAGGTTATCATTATCACTCTTGACCTTCTCCTCCATTTTTATAACACCTTCCGTGTCTGTATGTTTCTCCCATGCCATGCCAAAGTCTCCCAAATCCTAAGAGAAGCAGAGAAAGGTTGAGTTGGCATTCAAAATACTCAAATCCACAGTCTAACTGATGCTCTTCACCTCTTTGTCTTCACTAAAGTCTGCGTGTATGAATTTCTCAGAGCAGAAGCAGATGACGTCCTTCACTGATCGAGTCAGTCCTGGCTTTACCTTTTTGGGATCCATTGGTCCTGTAGACACCAGAATGACAGTTTTACAATACTTTCTCAACATTGAATCCTCCCTCAGTTCAACAAGACCATTTATTGAACCAAAAATTGGTTCCTCCAGAGAGCTTAAAGGGTTAGTTCACCCAAAAATGAAAATTATGTCATTAATTACTCACCCTCATGACGTTCCAAACCTGTAAGACCTTCGTTCATCTTCAGAACACAAATTAAGATATTGTTGATGGAATCTGAGAGCTCTCTGACCCTCCCATAGACAGCAAGGATATTACCACGATCAACGCACAGAAAGGTAGTAGGACATCGGTAAAATAGTCCAATTGACATCAGGGGTTCAACCGTAATTTTACGAAGCTACGAGAATAGTTTTTGTGTGGAAAGAAAACAATAATAACATAATTTATTCAACAATTCTTCTCCCCGACTTACCGTCTTCCGACATTTTGGAGAGTACCACAGAACGTAATCAACGTAATGAGCTTTGTTTACGTTAAGCATGTGCGCACTGTCTACTGAACGTAAACAATGCTGATTACGTTGGTTATGTTCCGGGGTACTCTCCAAAATGGTGGAAGACGGTAACGGATCTCCTTGCTATGTTTCTGTGCGTTGATCATGGTAATATCATTGCTGTCTATGGAGGGTCAGACAGCTCTCAGATTCCATCAAATGGAGGGTCAGACAGCTCTAAGATGCCATCAAAAATATCTTAATTTGTGTGCCGAAGATGAACAAAGGTCTTACGGGTTTGGAACAACATGAGGGTGAGTAATTAATGACAGAATTTTCATTTTTGGGTGAACTATCCCTTTAATGTTTCTGATGTCAGGGTGAATTCGTTAAGAGGATTGTCCAAAGAGTTGAGCAACTTGGCTCATTCAGTCACACTGAAGTAATATGCATGATGTGACACAAATATTATAGCTGTATCCTGAGTTTTATGGTGAACTGTGCCTTGATTCTGCTCAATTTCAACCTAGTACCCTTTGGTAAAGCGCAGCGAGGTATGTGAAGTTGACGTATGTTACGTTTTGTAGTTTATTTCAAAGTCATATTAGCTCGTTTGTATGTATATCTTAATCGTGAGCTCTGCTTGTTAATTAGTTCTTTCAAACTGCCTTTATTCATGTCATCGTTTATTTTTTCATCTGTTTCTCTGTAAATGTGTACTTTATTTATCATATTTTTCTGTATACGAGTTGTATGTATTGGTTTTGTTGTTTCTTTGTGTAGTTTCACGGTGCTACGCAACTAAAGTTTAATGGGCGAAATAAAGAAAGAAGCTCCCGTCAGAAACTCTCTGTGTCCCGTTTATGGATGCTAAAGTGCAGCTACAGTATGTGTCTTAAATAGTAAGCAAATTAAGTTTGCCGTGCTCCAAACGTTTGCTACACAGAACTTTGAATTTTCCCACCTCCACTTGAAAATAACCATTGGAATTTCATCTTGACAGCGACTTCAAACGATGATTTATGTTGAAGTCAGAGTTGATCGATCTGCCCAAACGTTATTATCCAAAATACTGCATGTTAGCTTGCTTATTTTGCTCAAGAGCATGATCTATGTTATACTCACAAGAAACTATGCTTCTAACCACAAGTCAAGAGCTGTAGTTCCAACCACACAACTTTTTTGCAATGCTGTTTTGTGAATGTTTAGTGGAACCATGGTTTGGGGAAACACTGAATCATTGACCTGTGCTAGTAATGACGGAACTTGCAACGGTTTTTGGTGAAAGAAACCTTGACTAACGTTATTTGTGTATGAATAAATGTATGTATGACCCCTTTAAAATAACTTTGTTTGATTTTACAGTTCTCATGAGCTTCTGCGGTATGCATTGTGCCTTCAATGAGACCAGCAGTTCTTTTCATTCTTAGACAGTCTATAACTCGAAGTGTTTTGTTGCTGTCAGTGTGAGCTAATCAAATGTTGCTCTCACCCGTCAGCAGTGTGATGAGTAGACCTGCTGCTACAGTGCCAATAAAGCCCACTGCACTATAGTACAGATAGGACATGGAGTACCATGAATCAGCCAGCCAATACCTGAACACAAGACAGAGACCTTATAATGAAGGTGCATTACTACAGCATGATTACATTTGTACTGTAAAACATAGGACTGTCTGTTGATTTTTATATTATATTATACAAAAAAGGTTAGTCAAATTAATTTATTTCTTGTAAGAATGGGTCATTTTTACTCATCTGTGATCACTTTTATAGAATTTCCATTCTTTTTTCTAGGATAACTGAGTGCACTCTTGTACCCCATGAAATGGTTTGACAAACACAATTTTCTTTCAACAAAAATGGGGTCTTAAATTTTTTTTTACCTGTTAACTGTCACGGCCCACTGGTGGGCCCACTTGCCATTACATGTTTTAAACCGTAATATCTTAGTCTGAACCTAAAGTAATCTTGACAAACTATATATCGTTTGAAAGCTTAAAGACTCTAGTTTTGATATTTTGTGACTGATTTTTGAAATATTTTACAGAGCAACTGTAATTTATTAATATGCAAGAAGAGTACTCAGAGTCAGAGCGTGCGTTGTGACATTTACTTTGAAATAGTGATGCACATAT